TGGCCATGTTTTTGTTAATGCTTAATCGTGTGCTTTAAGGCCATATTATTGTAAAATTACCTCTCTCAAAGCTAATCGGTAAAACGCAAAAAGTGAGTTGGATTAATTCTAAATCCATCAGAAAGAGCCAAAAAAACTTTACAGCCTTTTCATCACCCAAAATTTCACAAAGCACCATGTTGACTGCTACAATTCAGGCTCGGGAGCAAACACGAAAAGGCGCTCAGAGCGAAGCCGTTGATATACGTGGCAGAAATTTCAAGCAGAAAAACCGACTTTGTCCAGGCAAGATTGGCTAAGCGCTATTCAGTGTAGTCTTCTTTGAACCCACCAGGGAGAACCACGTGTGGAGGAACTTCCCACCAACATGACGCTCCTCTCCCCTCCATATATGTGACTTCCCCTCCCCATGTCCCTCTACCACCTCAGATAATACGCCACTGCCGGGAAGCGTCACCTATCGTCTTCTTGGGTAGGTCCCCTACACAGCCACTGTGTGAAGATCTATCGCTACCATTTCCTTTGAATCCTTCCCCAGAGATCCCATAAAGAACCCCACTTTTGCAAAATATGGTCTCAGGACTTCTTTCAACTGTGAGGCTAGCCAATTCAGCGGTTTGTGGGGATGTCTGGGAGCTCTCACATGTGCAGACTATTGCAGCATCTCTGCTTTCCTTACTTCTCTTGAAAGGTTCAGTACTTGTACTACTCAACATGCTTTTCGCTATGTCGAATATTGCTTCCAGTGTTTATGAAACTCTTCATCGGAACTTGTGGCTTGAAAGTGACGTAAGCTTAGGGACACCAGCACAGGGGGAAGTGCGATACCAGCACATTTTTCTTAAAAATTTTGAGCCTTCAGAATAACTCTTCGATGGTTCTCGTAACTATTTCATGGGATTGAATACAATTTGCTCCTCATTTTCACCTCTTTTCAGTTGATTGCCGAGCCACCGAACTTCTTTTTCGGAGTAGCCAGGAATTTCGCTGTTATTCACGTGGGAGCTCCAGCTGCCGGTGGGCGCATACTGCTTTCCATATCGTTACGACTTTATACCTGTGTTGTGATGCTCCAGGAGCAGATTGCGTAGATGCATCATCTAGGTGACGAATCAGTATCTTCAGGAATGAATTGTGTTACGCATGCCTTTGTACGAATAGCGAATCACTCGAAGTACAATGTGCTTGGAGTTGAGCAAAGCTGGGAGGGTCTCGCTGAAGGTCGATTCAAGGTAAAGCTCAACGTCTAATTGAAGAAACATTGCACGGTCAAAAAAATGTGATTACTCCGCTACAGAATGGAATCCTTTTCGGGTTTTTAAAATACAAAAAATCTCTTGTATTGACATGCCACTGTAAACACTTTAGAACGGGCTCGATAAACTTCGTTTTCTCTGGGGTTTTCTGTCGATTGGCCGGTTTTCGGTTGAAAGACAACGCTGCGTCTCGATAATAGGGTAGATGTTTTATTAGGTCAACTCATTCAAACATGTCCAGACATCTAGAGAAATGGTGGGAAAAGTAAAAGAGCTAGAGCATTCTACTTGCTTTTGCTTTTAGCTAGCACACCCAGCTACGGTATACCCTAATTTAGTTTATAGTGCTGCAGGAGGAAACACTTAAACACATAAAAGAATTCATAGTGACCCAAATCGAGGTGGAATTTCCAGATGACTGGTGACACACGTGAAATTCGCAACTCGAATTCTGTGTGTGCTGGCTCAACTTACGCGTGATACAGTGTTCTCGAAGTGCTACGTTGAAGATATGGTGTGAGAGCTCAAAGAAGGGAGAACGGAAGCGAGTTGTGGTTGAGGACGCGCTCACATTGCCCACCTTGCCAAGAAGAGCGGGTGGATGAAATGAGGTTTCAAATGGCGCATCACAGATGTTGAACCTTTGCGATGTTTGCCCACGAGACTTGCAGTCTAGCTGCACCTGTTACGCAAATTGTGCCCAAAAATTGGGGATGGTCCACAGAACATGTTTTTGGATATCCCATTTACTCCCAGATGCAGGAGTCCAGAATCGAATTGGTGTCTGTAGCAATGATTTTCTCTGCCGATAACGGCATTTAAGACTATCAAACTGGACCCTGCTCATAAACGAAATTTGTGTGTAATTGTACGCTGAGGCCCAAGTCAGAAGTGTCAACTTTGGATTAACGCGAATGAGGAACTGCCCGAATTGGATCACGAGAAGTCACGTGGGTTCACGTGGATGATTATTATGGCGATGGATTTCTGAGGTGTGCCTCTTAAATGGCTCTGTCGGGAAAAAACCTCCGGCGTTTCTCAAGTTTATGGCTTGTTTCTTAGCGAACAAATTGACAAAGGAATAGCAGTACAAAACTACAATAACGATATCATCACCTATGTCGATACCAGACCCTACATAGCTCATATTGCTCACGGGTATTTCGATCCAAACGGATATTGTGACCTCTTCTTATCAGCCGTATTTTCCCAACTTTTTTTAGTTAGTAAACATTGCTGCGACCAAAAAAAGCAGCTAAGGTTAATAGCTCCATTCGCTTCCTCGCGGATGAAATCCATGCAACCGGTAGATAGACGGGAACTTACTCCCGCTCCCTATCAGCGCCCGGCGCTCGCTAAGCAGTCACCTCATAGTCCTGTCGTCTCGCCAAAAAGTCGCGTCTGCCAATTCCTCATTACTTGATCGAGGCGGTCGATCTACAACACCATCGTCAGCCGATGGATCGGTTCGCATACCCACTCCCATGCCATTCCTCCCTTCCGGCCGCTATTCCCTTTCTTGAAATTCTCTCCTCTTATCATGCACTTGTAGAGTCCTGGAGTCATGCATATCTTTTTATTTGGTTATCAGTCGTGAAAGGTTTCGATAGACAGTTTTCTGTTACGTAGCAAGATCAACACATCCTTGGTAGTAATCAGCTTCGTGGATCGCGAAGAGGCCAAAGCACTGAAGGCAACATCCGTCGGAGTGTCTAGTGCTACTAAAAAGATTCTTTTGCACGTTGAATTGGTTTCACCGTAGTTTCATATTGACGCTGGAGTGCACACTGTCACATGCTATCGAATTGGTTCTGACGTGTACTCTTGTGATCTTCTCTGCACTCCAGAAGGAGAAAATGCGCAAAGTGTCCTGAGCAAAATCGCTCTAGAAGATGGAGCACGGCAAGGGAACAACTCACCCGCAACGTGGAGCAACCGCAATGGTGCCTTCCCAATCTGCGAGGCGCGCCAAGTGCACGCTCAAGTGCAAGGTGGACGTTGCACGAATTTGGAAAGCTCTCTTAGGGTAGACACCTATCTAATAGTGAATTCTTGGTTGAGTCCTCATCAAGGATCCCTTTGCTCCGGTTCAATTGCGCGCCGCAATTCTCCCACGGGCGCTACAGTCCCGAAGTGATTATGGTGGGACTAACTCAACTTGAGGAGAAATCGTTTCTGTTAGTGCTATAGCTGAGTGGGGTGTGACACTAATACCCACTGCCTCTGTTTCCTCGGTGCTCGCCGCCCTTGCTTCTCTTTTCACCTTATTCCAGGGGCACCGCCACAAAAACATTAGGATATTGTCCAGCCCGGCGCTGTCCACGCGACAGGACAAGTGTCGCCATCGTGTAAACAACACTATAAAAAGAAAACGAAGAAGGTGAAAAAGGATCAAGTTAGGGGATAAAGAAAAGGGGTGAAGAAAGATGAATCTATCGCGGAAAAATGATGGAAACGAACCCGTGTTGAACGGGCAAATTAACTCTTACTAGGTCACAAACATTCGCTATTATCTTTGCTGCAACTTTAGGAACTTAACTGGGGTAACGTCACCGGATGGATGTGTCGTGGAGGTTCAGAGCTCGGCTCGAAAAAACAGTTACCCACAAATTTGATTAAAATTGCGCTCATTCTGGGAGAGCAGAACATAGAAGGATTGCTGATTGTTGGAGGATTCGAGGTATATTAAGAATGTCTACATTTGCTTCACTCATTGGTTCTCCAATTTAAGTGTATATGTTTATGTTTATGTTTATGTTTATTACGCTGCTAAGGCAAACGCAGTAAAAAAACAACTTTCTAAAACCAACGTAATAAGCCGTACAACACAAAAGATAAAAGCAGTTGACATGCGAATAAAAAGACCTATATAACTCATAATCTAATTTGAACCCAAATGTTGACAAGAGTTATGGAATCAATTGATCAGTCTCAGAAAACTAGGAAAGCTCATACTTGGCTAGAACCACTGTCATGTTTCGCTTGAACCTACTCAGAGATTTAGGGACGATCGAATTTTTAGTTACTTTTTTGTACAAGCTACCAGCTCTAAAGGTGAAACTTCTGGCTCTTACACTTGTTCTGGGCCCAGGAAGCATAATTTTAATCCGCTCACCTCTCGTATGAGAATGCCCTGTATTATATACATCAAAGGACCCAAAATCGTTACACTGGTACAGAAGTTTGTGAACCATGCACACATCAAACACCTTGCGCCGAGATTCCAGCGTTGAGAGTTCAAGATATCTATTACGAATAGAGGCTCTAGGAATGCCAGAATAGAAAAAGCATCTGCACCGGGAAAGAATTTTACGCGTGAAGTTATTTTGCACTTTTTCAGTGCAAAGACGTCCTTCCTCCTGTTGGGATGGAACACTGTAGCACCACTCTCAACCAAAGGGCGAACATATGTCTTATAAGCTTTGAGAAGGATGGACTTATTCGTAGTAGACAGCCCCTTGAAAAATGTGCGACGTCCTCAGTAACGCTAGCTTACACCGAGAGCGAATATGCATGGAGAAAGTCAAGTGTATTGGTATAGAGGAAACCTAGATCCTTACACAGTTTACGGTTTATCTCAATTTAGAAGTGTATATGTCAAAGTATTGGCATGCAATGAAGTTTTTCATTTAGGCTTTCCAGTCCGCTTTGGTTTTGAATGAAGCCCGCTACAGTTACAAAGCATTCAACATTCCAATTGTTGTCGTGCCGTGCTCTGTTGAAAACAACGTACCCGGGGTGAGTTGAAAACTTCCTGAAAAAGTCTACATTTATTTTTCTAAAAGAAAAAGGTAAAAGAAAGTGTGGCCTAGTTCGATACCATGTTGGAAAAGAGTGGTGGACTCAAAAGTGGGGTAGCGGGGGAAAGATGTGTCGCACACGTTAGACATGTGAGCCATGCAAAAACGCTCTACAAAAGAGCAAAAGCGAGACAACCATCAGAAGTTCAGAGAAGCTGTCAGGGGTAAGTCCGTGCGCGTCTGAAGGAGAAGACCCTCCTGAAAGGGGTGTCTGAGAGTTATATGTAGTTGAAGAGAGGAGGTGGTATTCGGCTCCAAATAGCCGGAGCCGAATAGAGATCCGCGTTCCCAGTCAAAAGGGGGTTAATGCTCGGGAAGGCAGTAGGGTCGGATATAAAGGATGGAGGTCTTAAGTGTTATGGGTTATTAATTTCCTCAACCCACTCATGATCGGAAGAGGTCGCCATATCATTCCATTTCGAACGAGATGGAAAACAAAAACAAATCATGTCTCATCCGCTGATAATGCAGCAGACAAAGATTAAACGCCTGAGTTGGCTGGTTGGCGATGCACGAGGGTGAGTGCCATTCAAATCGGTGTGAAAAAAATAGTTATGGTCGGCAACGGGAGTCATAGCTCACCATCAGGCAGTCAGTGGCTTATGAATAAAAGTGGCGTTTCCGACAGGAGGCCAGTCGTGCGGCGAGAAAGCAGAAGCGCAGATGGGTCGCAGCGCATGCTGCGTGATGTGGGACGTAGTGTAGAAGATTCTATGAATTGACGCGAAATCACTACAGTACGTAATGTGATTCGTCCGCTGACTTGTCTGCGTCTCTGCCTTCTCGCCACGCCTGTCGGATTCCCATGTATGAGAGTGCTCTTAATCCCGCTCCCTCCGCTTTCTCCCATCACCAGATTGGTCCCCCGTCAACCGCCGGGACCTTCCTTTCCTGCGCAAGCTCCTTCCTCCTGTGACACCAACACCTCCTGGAAGTGTGCGTATGCATGCAACACAATGGTGTTTCATACAGTAGAAGGGACACAATCATGATATGACGGTAGATTTTTCGCTTCCCTTCCTCATCCTCCCTTCCTCTCTCCACTGCCCTCCAGCTGCCACTGCAGCACCATGTGGAATGAACGGAAGTGTGCTAAGCAGGTGTTTATATAGCCCTGAGAGTGTGTTATCACAACTATATTTGGATGATATTATATGTGGTTATCATCATCTATTGTTATATTGCTATTTTTGGAAACAAAACAAAATAAGTACGGCGAGGTACGCGGGCGGCTGCTAGTCTGTTTAAGTCGCAGTTTAGGGAGAAGAACTCGGCCCAAGCGACACGTTTATTACACACACTAAAATGACAGCTAAAGATGGGGCGCGGGCTTAATAGCTGTTCTCGAGGGGCGATGGTACCAGATTCTGGCGGGAACACTGCTGTGATTGGCTGCTTCTCTATCCAGGCGGTGACGTCATTACTGATGAGCGGCTCAAGGCTATCGATCGACCAGAGGGCTGTGGCGGTTGAAAGAGAATTACGGGTATAAAAACAACGAACCCACTATAAAACAACAAGCAAACAGACATAGAACATAACACTTTAAACGTATCTCACTTATTTCAAACCGTTTACGCTTTCAGACCTGCAACTCTCTTGGCACAGACACTGCGCTCAACGAGATTTGTCGACAGGTGGACAATATACAGCTCTGTGCACAAGCAACCAGGAAAAGGTCTGAAGGCCTGCCTTTATTTTTCTCTGCTTTTATTCTCTCGAGAAAACAATCTGAACACACACATTTCATTATTGTGTGTCAACTCATAAATTTACTCGATTGTTTCAGAGCTGTGATCATAGAAACGATGGGTGAGCGATGCGGGTTTCTGCCTGTGATGACAGCTATGGCCGACGGGGTGCCGACAAGGCATTGGTGTTCCAGAAAGAGTGTACTGAAAGAGATCTGAAGAGGATGGCTCAGGTGGTTTATTTTTTCAGTCTTTTTTTTGCTACAGGTGAAATCATTTGCGGTTTTGTAGCATGCTGCAGTGAAAGCACAACGAGGGTTCAACCAGTACACGGTTGTCCGAAGCGATGGTGCGGACGATAAAATAGGATGTGATGAAATCAAAAGCTACTTTGAACAACACGAAGATTATCCGGTGATCAACTCAAACTCGTATTTGTAGTTTTCTTGGGCGCTTTATGAAACCGGTCGCACTGTTCTCAACCGCAAAAAGCCTTACAGACGTAATTGCACACGGCTCAATAGATACCACCAGGAAGGAGCAGGCGTTTCTGCCGAAATCGGCAGTGGTTTTTAAGAAACGTGAGAAGAGACGTTAGACATTGTTAATATTCCGCCATCCCACGTTAGACGGGTTCTTAGAGAAGTCAGGTATAATTTCACACAGGATTAAAGAACACAGGAGTCAAACCTGAAGACGGGGATAAGTTGTGTTGTAGGACCTTAACTAAGAGAGGAGAGAAGAGAGGGTTGTTTTCATTGAAATTTTCTCGAAATAGGACAGGACTCACTAACTCTCTACGACTCTGCCGAGGTGAAAGCACGACAGCCCTTTTTAAGGGTCCCCATCCAATACGGCCACCTCCAACGGTCGATTGTGCCCATGTTGTCGTAAAGCAGCAATCCCAGATGAGGGGGTGTGCGTCATATGGCGCGATCCCATTGGCATTGGAGCGCACAGGCCGTAATTACCACATCCTGCTGTGGCCGGACAACTCGTCCGCGCAACACATTCTGTTCCGTTCCTCTTGCCTTGGCATCAGGCCAGCGAAGCTATCCGCTCTTTTTTAGATCTTTGGGACTCAGCGAGATTTTTGAGACCCAAATTATCAGATCGATCAATTACTGAAGTCTAGTAGTTGAGTGATACGGACGAGTTGTCCGGCCGCAGCAGGATGGGGCAATTGCGGCCTGTGCGCTCTAATGCCAATGGGATCGCGCCATATGACCGCCTCCCCAGATGAGTTTGTGTTGAAGAATCTATCTGTGGTTGGGATAGAGTAGCCATCAAGTATTACAGATGTGCCATTGTCGCGCTCGAAAGTGCGCGACAATGGCGCTAGGGCCTTACAAAGTGATCTAATGGCGGCTAATAAGAACTTATGGACGAGATACCTCGCAAGTCTTAGTATGCAACGTGGATTATGACGTAGCGGATAAGATAGCCGATAGGTAGATAGAGATGATAGAAGCA